GAACCGATATCGTAATGGGTGAGACAGCCTACCGAAGGCTGAGGAGCTCATTGAGACTATTAATATGATAAATGACCGGAATAGAGAATGATATGCCGTTCTCAACCCGCAAATTTTGGCCCCATGGGGCTCACGAGAAGCCATGTCTAGCTCAACATGCCTGGGAGTGTCGTGGGCAGTATTCGAGACCGGGCTATATGTCATGGGAAGTTGGCCGCTTGAAAACGATCAGCTCTTGGTGGAGAGCTGAGTCCTGCGAGCTATGAGACCTGCAATATGGCTAGATGCGAAGAGCACAGCTCGCGAGGATGAAGGGGACTTGTGGCAGTTCTTGAAGCGGCAAATGATACGATGTCTACAACTGCCGACAGCTTTTTCAAATCGTACATGGAATGAGGCTGCCTGACGATGTGCGGTCGGCACGATTATGACGATGAACATATCACGATGCTCGAAGCAGAGGCGATCAGCCAACGAACAGCCCGCATGGAAGTACGGGCAGGGAGACCCAAGGTCTTTCCGATCGTTGCGTGTCTGAAATTGTATGTGGGGTTGTTGCCTTGGACAGAAGGAGTCTTAAGAAAGCCACTGGCTCCAGCAAACCGCTCTCGAGACGATAGAAAATTATAAAAGCAAGAGGTTACCCTGCAGTCTATGAGTTCTTTCCTGTACCAGCCATCAAACAATTTCATCGAATACCTGTCTACCTCTTGCAATAAGTTCTCCATCTCATCAATCAATCCCCATACATCCTATCAAAATGGGCGTCGTTGAGAAAGGCAACAAGATTTTCGTCTCGGCCAGCGAGATCGACAGGAACAAGGTCACTGTTGAGTGGCAGCAGAACAACAAGCAACGTTCCCAGGAGTATTACACTGTTCCCTTCTTCAACAAGAGCCAGGGTATAGTGATACCAAACCGTACATGGATGATCGATCTTGAACTAACTACGGCTATCTATAGGGGATCAGGAGAGCGTTCTCTTCATTCAAGCCAATTACCTTGACGCTTTCAAGAAGAAGCAGGTTGCTGGCGAATCGGAGTTCACTGTTGTCGTTGACACCTCTTTCCAGTACGGCCAGAATGACGAGAAGACTACACGCTGGCTTGTCTACCATGACAAGAGCATGAACGCCTTCCAGGTACGCAATCATAAGTTCCAGCACATATTGTGGTGTAGAATAGAGGCTGACTCCAAATCTACAGTGGCGATTCGTTGCGAGTGTCAAGTCCAAGTTGGGCAATTCGCTGAGCTCGTTCGCTGGTGGCGTCTTCAAGAGTTTCACTGGGGTCGACATTGGGAGCTTGGGTGCGCTCATCGGTCACCCTCTTCGAGACTTTTAAAATTCTCAGGATTGGGACGGCAAGCTGGCATCAGCCTTACATTTCACGCTGTTGCGTTGCTGTAGTCTCAGATCCATGATCGTCACTCTGCCGCACGATGAGGAAGGTGCTCATCGCGCTTTTGACAAGACGCCTCACTTGACATTCGTAACACTCTTTTAAATCCCGGGTTCTTAATATCTTAATTATGGAAAGTAGAAGAATGATAAATTTACATGATTCTTCAAAAATCTCGAGACTCTTTCTCTATCATAACGATGGGCGACGGTTGACCCTTACGACCGACTTGTCTGGCTCCAGTGTAGACCAGCTAGGAGGGCTCACTGATTATGAGATGCTATTTGAACTTGCGATCATATAGGATACACGACGATCTGGACTTAAGGGATAGGATTCGAGTGGATCTGTCTGCGCATAGGTATAAGGGGGTACGAGACGCGGCAGCTAGAGCCTTTATGTCTAAGCGAGCAATATTTGCCAGCCATGGGTATTGACTCGAATATACACGCCACGAATTCACGCAAGTTCTGCATTGAATCTAAGAAGGTCAGAAAGAATGGAAGGACCGAAGATAGGCCTGCTCGTTCCTTCCCAAGTTCCACCCAATCGTCAAGCTCTTCATCCCGCCGCCCCTTTATCCGAATGCCACGGGCCCACGTACCTGCTATTTATCTCAATGGAGTTTTCTTCTCTATATTCTCATACCCTAGGTTCATCTTTAACTTCTTTGCAGACATTCTTGATTTTGTTGCTGGACAACGTTCAAAGACATCTTCGACAACCTAGCCATTATCGTCTGTCAACCTTTCATCTCGGAGATTTTTCTTTCATTCATTCCCTCTTCATCGACATCATACGAAAACAGAAGTCGCTGGACGACTTGAAAGCCCATCTACCTACTCATCTCAACTCTGTACAAACCCTTCGTTCCTATCCTCGCAGCCATGGGCGATCTGGACCTCTCCCAGCTGCTAGAGTCGGGCGAATACAGCGACCTAAGACTCATCACCACCAATAATGATGATGGAGTTGAGACCGAGCACTCCGTTCACCGCAATATTGTCTTCAGTCAATGTCCGAGATTGAGAGACGTGGTGGCCTCTATTGGACCACTGGTAAGTCTTTTACCTAGAGCTCGTTGGATCTGTTCTAACAGCCTGCCTTACAGAACCAAGTCAACGGAGTTGACATTGTCCATCTCAAATATGATGGCAAAGCTCTCGGCACTATGTTGCGATATTTGTACTCTGGAAAGTACGAGGCGCAATACGAGGTGGCGATCCGGCGAGCGAGCGAGTCTAGTGGCAATGACAGGCCACACTCAATGTACTGGTCCACCCATGCCATGAAGCTGGCACATGAACTAGATCTCTTCGGTCTCTATAGGGAATCGGCATGGGCGTTGTGTAAGGCAGCGAAACAACTCACAAACCACGTCGACTTCCCTGACATGGTCGACGAGCTCTACGAGTCGTGTGGCCAGCACCCAAATTTCCCCATCCACCTCGCAAGTATTGCAAGAACCATTGCAGAGAACTGTCTGATCAGCAGTCGGCTGCAGGATCGACTAAAACCCACCATGCTCAAATACCCGCAGCTTGCCCTCGACGTAATGGAAGCAAGCTTGGACGCCCTGTCTGAGACCCAAAAAGATCTTGTCGAGGCACAAGAGAAGGTCTCTGATCTTCGAGCTCAGGGATACAGAGCTGATGAGTTTTGGGTCGAGGATGAGCGTGATAGAGAACGTGATAGGAAGAGAGAAAGAGAGCGAGACCGGGAGAGAAGAGAGGCAGAGGCGGTTCGCGACGACAGTTTTGAGTTCAAAATTGTTCAAGGCCACAAGAAACGAGGTCGTTCCTCTTTTCATAGCGCTGAACAATACCCGGTGCTAGAAGGGGAGATATAGGTCGTTATGAGGATCTGAGAAGGAAGGGAGGGGGGTTAAGACAAGAACGTAGCGCCAGGAACGTGAGGATACTCGCTGGTGAGGAAAGAGCTGGGCTCGATGACTGGAACTTATGCTTTCGATGGTTTTATGAGAATCCGCGAGGTATGTCGCGAAAGGAACTAACGTGGAAGAATGAATCTCCTCAACTACGCTATTGCTTCTGAGATCCTGTGAGAATCGACTTGCAAAGTGACTAGAGAAAGAAAGACCAACCTCCTGCCTCTCTCTGGGGCCAAAAGGAGCAGGAAGAGGCTTCTCGTCAATAAAAAGCCCTTCTCCTCCCAACTCTTCTATTCCTTTTTCATCCTCTTACATCACTTACATCTCTCACTTGACCAAACAAACCGAACGAGGAGAGACTAAGTTTGGAGATAGCTTTATAAGAGCCGCTTTCTTTCCATTCGTATCACTTCAATTTGATTACTATCTCAAACATCATACCGTATAGAACCTTTCTATCCCTAGCACACTTCCAAATTTCTACGCAACATACGCAGGAGATTCAATATGGTGGGTATTGACCTCGGCAGCCTGTTCAACTCCAGCAAATGGAGCGACCTGACGATCGAGGCGTCTGGGAAGCTCTTTCACTGTCATCGGTGTGTTGTCTTCAGTCAGTGCGCATACTGGCAGGAGTTGCCTCTGGTGGTAAGTTGTAACTGATCTAGCTTTAAGAGCACTCATTAAACAAGGTGTCTTCGCTGACAAAACGCCTATAGAATGGACGTCTCGTCCTCACCGGAGCAGACACTACCAAGGCGATCCTCAAGTACTTGTACACAGGTGTTTACACGCCCTTCAATGTTCCCTGCCACAAAAACAAACCAGAGAGACCTCAGGCAAACGAGGAAGGCACAGTCGATGAGCTCGACTACAGTGAGCACTGTCTTTTTTTAAATGCTTGCGTCCTGATTCACGCAAGGACGTACAACATGGCCAAATTACAAGATCAGGCCAAAATCGCACTCTTAGCCATCGCGCCTAACCACACCAACCATGCTGACTTTCTCGACACCGTCAACTACATAATCAACAATTATCAGAATGAGGAGGGACTGCAGATTGCTCTGCAAATGATCATGCCGCAGTATGAGACGGACGCTGGCCTACGTAGCAGAGTCAAGGATCTCCTGCTCATTCACCCCCGCCTTGCTTGCGCCCTCCTCGAGCATACGACTGAGGAGTTGCGTTTGATCAAGAGGGAGAAGAGCTTGACTCGCTTTGTGAGCAAGATCGAACCCGGCGAAGATCTCGGAGTAGACTCACCGCAGAGCACACCTTCGCGAATTGTGCGCGTGACTTCCGCGAAGCGAAAGGGCGACGATGGTGAGATGCCTGAGATGAAGCGTCCCAGAGAGAGCATCGAGGAGTAGTCACCTGGCCCGTTGGCTTATTCTTGGACAGGAATGAGGAAAACATGGACATGCTATATGGAGCAGCTTACGGCCTCTGGATCAAGGAGGAAGATACAGCCTCTAAAGGGAAGAGGAACATAGACATTGCAATTTTCTATCTAATAGACGATGCTGCTTTTCAAGATCATGCATTCAAGATAAAACTGGCCGGAATCATTGATGTGAGTTAACTTTGTGTTGGTATAATTGGGTATCTATCCAAATATTCCCCGATTCTATCCCTTTTGATGCACGACGCCTGCCACGCTGGCCCTTTCTGTTGTAGATTCCCATCATGTAGTGGGTGGGCATAATTATACATATCTTACACGTCCAACTCCTATCCGACATTTTTGGTCGGGTGTCTCGTTCTCCCGAGTGACTTCCTCCAACCCAGATTGTTCTTGCCTTATGGCCAGGCCACGCTTGATGACTTCATGTAGATTCTGATGATTTCCCCACTCATCCTCGAATATATACTCCTCCACCTCTTCATCGGAAGGCCAGTGCATCGGTCCCCCGTTCCTGCTATCGCTCAGCGCCGTGACCTCCTCGCGTAAAGCCAGCACTGTCTCCTGGTCGAGCAAAGGTTCCGCGTAGGCTCGGAACGCACGGAATGCCCTCGCAAGGTATCGCGCGTGCGCCAAGGAAAGGTTCCCGCCGGCCTTGGGAGTCCACTCGCGGATGATCCACCACATCAGCAGAACCATCTCCTCGCGATCGCCGAGGAACGCGAGTGTGCGCATGTATGTGTTGATCGTCGCTGCTGTCACAAGCTTGTTCACATCGGGTTTGGACGCCGGACCCAGGGTGGCGAGTGCTCTCCACGCGGCCTTGAGTTGGCTCGATGCTTTTTGTACTGCCTCGATTGGTGTCTGGCCGTGGCCCAACTCTTCGTGTTGAAAGATAGGGGTAAGAATTTTGCGATATGATAACTTGCTGGAAGGGCCATGAAGTCGATAGATGCGGCCCTTGGGGTTCTTGATCTTGCTGGTCTGCGCCTGATACAGCGACAGAAACTCTTCATCTTCGTCTAGAATCCGTGAAGCGGCCGCATCTTCTCCGCGCGAGCTTCCCGTTGTCATTTCGTCAGTTGCCTGTTCCTCAGGATGGACTGGCGTTTTGGCCACATCTTTGATAAGCAAGGCGGCAAGTCGGGGCTGGACCGCTTTCCGTAATACACTGGCAAATGCAGTGATCATGTTCAGACTGAGCCCGGAATGTCCCTCAGCCATCTTTAGGGCTTTGACCGCCAGATGCATCACTTCTAAATTGTTCTCCGAGGGCATGCTGTTGCTGACCATGATGTTTGATCTGCCCAAATTGAATAGTATCGTCTCCCATGGCGCCCGACCAGAGACGTCAGTTGAAGCCCAGCCCATTTGCGCAAGTTGAAATGCATAGTGGATGCTATACATGCTTTTGTTGGAGATGTGCGAGGGTGTATTCGATGTTCGGTTTGGTTGAAGGCGACAAAGCAGGTCGATGAATGCGTGTAGTATGTCGTGAGGCGGGTTTGTCAACACACTCCCCGTGAGACCTTGGTAGTCTTTCAGGCTCTGTCTAATACTGCTTTTGAGTCCTTCCTCCAAGTTACTGCAATCGACGTGATGCAACGCGACGTCAATGCTGGGTGACTGCTTGATAAGTCCAGCCAAGAATGGTCCACGGATGGGAATACCTGCGTTGTACATCTCTTCTACAATCTTGCGAATGCTGGGTGGGTTGGTCCGCGCCCTCTCGAAGTCGCTGAGGTTCTCGTCGTTGTAGGGGAAAACCTCTCTCCCATCTCCAGGGAGATTGTGATGCCCGGCTTTTGCTGGCTTTGCGGAGAGCTTGGCTATCAATTCTCTGTACACCTCGAACTTTGGCTTCATCCCTGGTTCTGGGGGATGTTTGAACAGGGCCCAAGCTTCTTGTGCATTTCGAGTTGTACGGATCTGAGCTGCCCATGCGCCTTGCTCAAAGCGAAGGTGGCGCGGGTAATTCGCCCTAGTCTGGACCGTTGGTGAGCCATCAGGAGCCATGCCACCTAGGATATCCGTGATCAAGTCGAAATCCTTCTTGCTATATCCACCCTCTTGCATCATGATGCCGGCCTTAACAACTCGGCTTTGGTAGGCCTCAGGACCAGACTTCTCCTCCATGCCATCGCGCATAATCCGATATGGGGGCCAGTGACTGGCAAGTGTGCTGGCCGTGTCTCGTTCTGAAGCTGTTTTTGGTAGTGCTAGCAAGACTTGCCGAATCGCCCGATAGCTCTCTTCCTCAATGATTAGAGTCTTCTCCGAGGTAGAAGATAGTGACAGAAGCTTCGTCACAGCTGTCCAATTGTAAGAGCTATACTGATACGGGGACTTTCTCGATACGACAGATACAGCCTGTATAGCGCGATTGAGGACCTGGCATTGTAACTTGTACGCCTTGTCTGGTTGGCGATGGCCATGCGGGATAATTTTGATGTATGATACTGAGAGCTCCGCGATATTAGGCAACGCATCGGGCTGCAGTCTGCTCGCATGTTGACACAATTTGTCCAGCAATTTGCTAAACAAAACCGGTGTAATTACCGAGTCCAAGTCAATGACCTGCGTCGCATCGTTGTTTGACTTCTGTCGTTCCGCATACCATTCATTACAGTATCTCAGTAGCCCCAACAAGGATTCGGAGCTCTGAAAGTACGGCCTGCTAGTGAGCAGGTAGAATAAGACAAACAGTGGCTTGTGACCTGGTCTGCTTAGGAATCTTTCGACCCTCTTGTCCGGTTCGCGCGGGATAACGACCCAAGCCCAACTAGACACATCCGCCTGTGTATGACCTCTTGCGGATAATTGTCGTAGGGTTGCCTGCCATTGCCGACTGTCACATAGTAGGCGCGCAATGTCTGGTCTGAGCTCTGGGACATGGCGGAGGATTTCCTGTGCGGTGATGACGCTGAGCTGAGGGGACCTCAACTGTGCTAGGAACCGGAGATTGGATAGCTTGAATTCGGATGGTGGTTCGGAGGGAAGGCGATACAGTTCGGCAGCATCGGCAAGGAGCAAGTCTGAGAATATCGACCGCTCGTGGCGCACAATCCGTATCGAATCGCGCCGTGATGGGGTTCTTGGCGCTTCATGTGACTGGGGGGACCGTTTGAACGGTCTGATCAGTTGCCAAGAAGGTGTTTGTTGTATTGCAGCGGCAGTATGGCTGGGCTGGTAGCTGTGCCGTTGGGATAGCTGCTTGGTCGAAGAACCATGTTAACTACGAGTCCGAGAGAGCTGTCATAGATGGAGAAGGTACTCACAGCTTGCCAGTCGCGGCCAAGCACCCATCGGCCCCTGGTCACGACAATACCGTGTGATCTGGAAATGGGCGGCGGCCGCATTGCCCCATCTTCGCTAGCAAAACCTCGTGATCCCGCGATTGAGATGCTACGAGGCTACTTAACGTTTGGCTTATGGGAGCTTGATGAAGTTCCATAGAAAAAAAGGACCGGGGGCGAACGTCGCGACTGCGGGAAGCTTTCCGCAATGCATCACGTGCGATAAGGCAGCTCAATCGATAAGAAAAGGATCCCTGCTTGTACCTACCTAGGTAAGGTTCCATGAGGTACTTAGCAACCAACAGCTGCCATCTGCGAAACTGCGAAGCAACGTTATTTTTTTCTCTCCTTGTCTTTGTGTCTTAGAATTGCTCAATGGTGCCTCGAAGCTCAAAATGCGGCTTTCTCATTTCACAATAGCATCCTCGCTCAGCCGCGGGCTGCACACCGCTCGCTCCACGCCCTGCCCGCAGCGATACTTCCATGTCACAACACCAGCAAGCATGCCTCGAAAGCGGACCTTCTTCACCTCGAACGTTTACCTTTCCCAGAGCACTGGCGAGCCGACCGCGAGGCCACCAAGGCAAGAAGATGACGAATCATCTCAGCTCACAGCACCGAAGCGTAAGGCGGTGCGCTCCGCCGGCGCAAAGAACTCCCTACGGCGCGTAGCGATTATTGCCCAGCGACCGGCGCAACGAGAACCAGGAGAGGTGCCAGCAGAGACGATGGATGTGTCTGCGCCTACACTGATAAACGCTGTGTGTGTTGCCGAAGCTTTTAATATGGGAGCAGTTCTGGACATTCTGCGGGCCCATGGGTTTGATATTGATCCATACCAGAGCGGATTCGAGGCGAGCGAGGTTGTCCACGCACGAGGTGTCAATGGCGGTGATATTTTCGTTTTTCCCTCGGGAACAATTGTCACTTGGGCCCTGCCCCCAGACGTTGTCACGAAGCAGTTGCTGAATGCGGCAGAAACGCCACTGAAGCCGGCTCTTCGGGAGGTGGAGGACCTGGAGTACGTGTCCGATCCGAGCAAGGAGACGAGCAGTATGAAGGGTGATATCGTAGTCCTAGGCACAAAGCTCGAAGAGCGAGACGGCGACAGGCTGGACACGACCCTCGCCAAGATTGCATTCTCTTCCGGATTGGCCCGAAGTACAAAGCTTGCAGTGCTGGAAACTGCGCTGACGGCTTACTTTGAGAGCACCAGAAAGATTCCCTCTGTGCTATCAAAGGGGTCCGGCTTGCCGTTGGGCAGGAAGTTCATTTTGCAGAAGACGGGCGAGCTGTTGAGCCTTCGCGCGAGGCTCAACCACTATTCAGAACTCACTGACTCTCTTCCAGACATCTTCTGGGACAGCCGATCCGAACTGGGTCTGGAAGGCTACTATGAGCAGGTTGGCCGTGCGCTGGACGTCAACGTACGAATCCGGACGTTGAACCAGAAGATGGACTATGCTCAAGAAATTGCGAGTGTCCTGCGGGAGATGTCGAGCGAGCAGCATAGTACGAGACTGGAGTGGATCATCATTATCCTCATTGCTGTCGAAGTCGTCTTCGAAGTCAGGAGAATTGTGCTCGAGTACAGAGAAGAAAAGGAGGATGGTAAAGTGGAGCCCTAGGTTTTTGTCTATAAACTAGGAACTGCTGTTGAACTTTCAAAAGATACCCAACTCAATGATTAAAGAAGATGCCAAGATATACTCGTTTATTACTGTTTAGAAGTGGAAACACAATTGGCTTGCCTCGGCTTATGCTAAAAATCAATCCATGCAAGGCGCAGGGCGTGACATTTCTTCAATTCATTGCCAAGGTACTTGGGACAAGTTGGTATCTCCAAAGAACACCTCATGGGATAAAACCCTGAAATACTTCTGCATGTTTCTTATAGCAACAAAAAAGGCAACATATATTACCTAATGCTACAATGTTTCATTCAAGGCGCGGTCGCCTTAAGCAGTGCCCGAACTTATCACGCTCAATACACAGGTAGTATACCACGGTATTGTGCAAGTGACTTTCGAGGTTCCGGAAAACCCTGCGCTTGCCGCTGCAGGAACGGGCAGCGGCATGGTACTAATTGTGGATCGCGCTTACCCAATTAGATTCGCTGGCAGCTGTTGTAGAATGGCTGGAAGTAAACAATCGTTCTGGATGCTAAGCTCAAATCCTAATGTAGATGAGCCTTGCCCTCTTCGGTACTCCTTTGGCGAGACTGAGATACTTAGTACTCTCTTCTCATTATTGAACATTTCTCACCCACCTTAGGTATCTACGCCGTCTAGTACTTTCTTCTGAGGAAGGAAAGAGCTCGCAAAAGATACCTCGCCTTCCATTGCTCGTCGTGGTTTGCCTTCTGCCAGCGTACCCACCCTAAGGTACCTTGCCATCGCCTAAATCCATACTATACCAACCCACCTTCACACCTGTCTCTCACTCACTCAAATCGGTCAATTCGAGATTCTTCGCTGGACCCTTTTCCTACCACACCGAGGTTCCCAATACTTGATCATTACCTTTCAGAAAAGACATCACAATTAACGACCGCGCCTACTTCGCTTAGACACGCGACTAGGTACTTCGCCGACCTCACTTTGACCACTTCTTCCCGCAAGGCCTCAATCAATTCCGATTGCAACATACAGCTGAGCCTCAAGCCTTTCCCTGTTGTTCGGCAAACAAAGCACCCACCAGGCAGGGATTTGATGCGTGTGCGACACTCGGGCCGTACCTACATCGACCATGCCTCCTCCGCTTATTGGTATGTTTTCTTTGTCTCTCAATATCATGTTGGCACATCTCACTAACGCTTACTCAAGAGGAAGAGGAAGAGGAAGAGGAAATGGGGGATTTTGATGGCGGTCTCCCTCACAATTGGGAGGATGACTTGGATCTGCTTGCGGACCCTTTCTTCAATGCTTATGACAACAACGAAATACCTGACTTTGAGGATCGCGTGCCTTTTCAAGGTCTGGGAGCATTAGCACCGCCACCCTTCGTCGATGATGAATTGTCCGCACCACCTATCCCTGGATCGCCGATGCTGGTCGACGCGGTACCAGAAGCCCCGTTACAGGAGCAGCCGGTGTATGACGAAGATGGCAAAAAAATAGGCACTATTCTACCTGCGATAAGTAGCACACCTCGGCGGAACATATCAGTCGATATTCCTTCCAGCACTCTTACCAGGCCGGCGAGTCTTTACCAAGGCGAAGAGCAGCGACCTAGCGAACGAGAATGGGTAGCGGTTCGGTCTTTGCTCCAAGAGATACAGCAGAACAGCGACAATGGAGATCAAAACTTCATTGAGTTCGAGATCGATGACTTCGCCGTGTACATTGACGCTACGGTACCGGGTGGCAACATGAAGCTTTACGAGGAGAAACGGTATCCCTGCGAGATGCGTCCCCTGCAACATCTGAGTATTCAGACCGCTTGCACTCAGATGTACGTCGACGGTGTCTTGTCTGTGGGAGAGAGGCAATTCTTTGTGAGGCAAATTCCATTCAACGAATTGCCTATCGGCAACTACGGAGTATCCGAGGCCACAGTCGGCTCTGACATCTGGATACGCTCCAAATACAACGTTGCCATCGCCAAAGGAGAAGGTCCAGATGTGTATTATCGGCTTGGAAGCCCAGCTCCCGAGTACCGACGCTACTATGCCGGGTTTACTTGGGTTGCAGATCTGGCTAAGCACGTGGTGGACTATCTCTCCGCTGCTATAGACCAAAGCCGTCGTGTCACATTCCGGGACTTTCGATCCGACTTCTCACGATGGCTTGCAGATACGCATGGTCACTCGAATGCTTTCTCCAAATGGCGGAGGCAATACTCCGGAGAGGACTTCTGCACAGCAATTGTACCAAATGTCCAATTCATCTATAAGGAAGCCTACGGAGTCCTTGGACACCGAGCTACAACTATCTATCTCTGGAGAGAGATTCGCGACTTCACTGCATTCACCGATAGCCAGGAGAAGATGCTCAAGACCGGTGGAAGCGACGCTGACACGCCACAAACTTCACCGTCGCCAACACCAAAGCCTCCAAGAACGCGCCAGCCCGCTGACATACCCAGAACAGTAGTAACCCCTTACGTTAACGACCTCTTCCATCATCTACCCTGTGGACCGATGATGGAGGCAACTAGTCCGACCGCAAGGGTGGGAAAGCTCCGAAGGGGCGTCATTCGAGGCCTGGGCTTGGAGGAGGCTACAAGAGTTCACACAGCAGCCAAGGACATAGTCGAGAAGACCGGACAGGAAGTACGAGTCGGAGATGTGATTTCCACGCATAGAGACGACAATGAAGACTATTGGGTTCGAGAAGCCGCTTCTGGCTTCAATGATGTCGACTGCTGGTTTGGACTTGTCCAAAAAGTCCACGATGTCCACAATTCACGGCAGAAGAGCTTCGATGTCATTTGGATCTACACGCCGACGCATACACTCTGCGGCACTATGAGATATCCGTGGAACAACGAACTTTTCCTTTCTGACCACTGTACCTGCGGCGACGCTGCCGTCGGAAAGATCAAGGAGGATGAGGTATTGGCCGTCCACAAAGTAGACTGGGGAGGCTCGTCTGGAA